AACAAAATAGTCCCCAAGCATTTCTGAAAGGAGTCCCAGAGGGCAGCCTTACTCTTGTAAGAACCACTGGTGTTATATTCAAGTGAAGTATTTGATGATTTATAGTGTGACCTTGGATCCAGGACCTGCCTCCTACTTACCAGCTGTGCTGCTTTAGACAAGTTACTGAACTCTTCTGAGCCTGCTTTACTCATAATGTTGCTTTAAGAATTAAATGAGAGCATGCAAATAGCAAAGTGTTTAGCACGGTGCGTGCACAAACTAAGTGCTTGATAAAAGTCCACACCTAACGTTATCTTATTCATCTAACTTGCTCTCATTTCACAGAAGTGGAAACTGAGGCTTCATTGAAATGTCTGGCTATCTTTCCGCCTCTCCCTGCTGGTCTTCTAGTCTGAAGACAGGCAATAACTGATGTTCTGCTAAGGGGTTGAAACCACCTTTGCAAAATTATGACTGAGACAGTGAAAGAGATCTGACCTAACCAACTCCATCTTGCTTCTAACCTCCAAGCTGTCCTTGTTCATTCCTCGGCACAAGCTAAACTGACTTTGAGAGGAACTTAGTTTATAGTTTAAAACAAAGACAATAACAGCCCTTCCCCAAAACAAACCTCCTTGCTTGGGGACTAGACTGCCTTTGTAAGGACTAAGAAATTAACCACAAGACTATAAACTTTGATTTAGGAGTCATGCAGCTGGAGGCTACAAGATTCTGACCTTCCCTAAACTGCTCCTAAGATCAGTGCTTGAAACAGGTTGCAGACCCTGCACTTGATGGATCAGCTGGCTCCACCCAGATCAATAAATTGGCTCATCTGCTCTTGTGACCCTCACCCAGAAACTGACTCAGTACAAGAGTATCGCTTCAACTTTCCACAATTTCATCTCCTACCTAACTAATCAGCACTCTCGGCTCACTGGCTTCCCCCCACCCACCAAGTTGTCCTTAAAAACTCTGATCCCTGGGCCAGTTGTGGTGGCTCATATCTGTAATCTCAGCACTTTGGGAGGCAAGGCAGGTGGATCACCTGAGATCAGGAGTTTGAGACCAGCCTAGCCAACATAACAAAACCCTCTCTCTATTAAAAACACAAAAAATTCGTTGGACATGGTGGTGGGTGCATGTAATCCCAGCTATTCGGAAGGCTGAGGCAGGAGAATCGCTGGAACCCAGAGGCAAAGGTTGTAGTGAGGCAAGATCGTACCACTGCACTCCAGCCTGGGCAACAAGAACGAAACTCCGTGCCCCTCCCCCGCAAAAAACCTCTGATCCCCGAATGCTCAGGGAGACTGATTTGAGTAACAAAAAAAATTCCAGTCTCCCAGATATCCAGCTCTGTGTGAATTGCAATTCCCCTGTCTTGGGAAATTGACTCTGTCTAGGCATCGGGCAAGGTGAACCCATTGGGTGGTTACAGAGTCAGCTTCAGAAGAAAGGTGAGACTAGAAAGGTTGTGGGATTGATGATAAAGTCTACGGGGAAAGTGGTGTCTGGAATCAGATTCCAGGCTGGGATATGCAGTGGTGTTATTACGAAGAAAGCACCCTCCGTTCATATGTCTATCAGTGTCATCACCTGACACTCTCAACCGTGGCAGTGCAAACTAACCCAACAGTGCTCCACAGGAGAGTATTGCCTTCAATAGTGATGCCAGAAGACATGTGGGCAAGGTTTTTCCATGGAAGACAAATTCTGGACTCAGCTGCCAGGATTCCAATCTCAGCTCTATCACTTAATATTCATGCATTCCTGTGACTTCCTTGTGCCTGTTTCCTCATCTGTAAAAGTGGGTAATAATGCTACATACCTCATAGGGTTTTTGTGAAAACTAAATGAGTTAATACGTATAAAGCATTTCGGACAGTGTCAGCATATAGTAAGTTCTGTGTAATTGTGTACCATTATCATGATTAATGAGGCAGAATAATTGGTGTCCACCCATGGGTTTAGTGTAGTCATACAGAGCCTTCCCACAGGGGAGAATAATAAGTAACCAAAAGGTCCGGGTATGGTGGCTCATCCCTGTAATCCCAGCATTTCAGGAGGCTGCGGCGGGCAGATCACCTCAGGTCAGGAGTCTGAGACCAGCCTGGCCAACATGGTAAAACCCCATTTCTACTAAAAATTCAAAAATGAGCCAGGCATGGTGTGCACGCTTGTAATCCCAGTTACTCGGGAGGCTGAGGCAAGAGAATCGCTTGGACCTGGGAAGCAGAGGTGGCACTGAGCCAAGATTGCATCTCTACCCTCCAGCCTGGGCAACAAAGTGAGACTTCGTCTCAAAAAAAAAAAAAAAAAAAAAAAAAAGGACCAAAGGAATAGATGAATGAGTGGATGATGGCTGGAAATAACTATGGGCTTTGGGAATATATTGTTTAGCTTCTGATTTGGACAACTGGAAAATTGCAGTGGAGTATTTATGCTTATCAGCAGGCTTTCAAACACTATATGACATGGACTTCCATAAAAACAAAACAAAACTGAGGTGTCAAGGTGTGCCCATAGCAGTTACCATTCTAAACGAACAATAACTATGACCAACCGCCTTGCACAGACACACCCTGACAAGCAAGTGTCTCGCTGCTTCTTGTCAACAATTACAGAGAAGAATGAGAGGAGGTATTGATAAGAAAAAGGGTACAATAAGAGAAAGAAAAGCAGATACAAGCAGAATTAGAAGAATGCCTAGTACAGTGTCTGATGCATGATAGGTCCTCCGTCAATATTTGTTTCTGTTTTTTTGAGACCGAGTCCCGCTTTTGTCACCCAGGCTGAAGTGCAATGGTGCGATCTCGGCTCACTGCAACCTCCAACTTCCAGGTTCAAGCTCTTCTCCAGCCTCAGCCTCCTGAGTAGCTGGGATTACAGGCATGAGCCACCACACCTGGCTAATTTTTTGTATTTTTAGTAGAGACCGGGTTTCACCACGTTGGCCAGGCTGGTCTCAAACTCCCTACCTCAGGTGATCCACCCACCTTGGCCTCCCAAAGTGCCGTAATTACAGGCGTGAGACACCACAACCAGCTAATATTTGTTGTTGCTTTTGTAACAAAGTTTCACTCTGTCACCCAGGCTGGAGTGCAGTGGCACAATCTCAGCACACTGCAACCTCCACCTCCCAGGTTCAAGCAATTCTCCTGCCTCAGACTCCTGAGTAGCTGGGATTGCAAGCACCTGCCATGACACTGGGCTAACTTTTTGTATTTTTGGTAGAGATGGGGTTTCACCATGTTGGCCAGGCTAGTCTCAAACTGCTGACCTCAGGTGATCCACCCACCTCGGCCTCCCAAATTGCTGGGATTACAGGCATGAGCCACTGAGCCTGGTCCAATATTTGTTGAATGGATGAATGAATAAATGAATACCCAACCTTTATTCTATCCCCATTTCAAACTCCAAATCAAGAACATGATTTCCAGCAATGAAGTAGTCCTCTCAGTTCATTCATTTTTAAAAAGCCAATAGCTTACTTAGGAGGAAATATGAAAATACTCTGGGCTATGGTTTGAATGTGTCCCCCAAAGTTCATGTGTGTGCAAACTTAATACCCAAAGTCATATGTTGATTAGAGGTGCAGCCTTTTGGAGGTACTTAGGAGTAGATAAAGTCGTCAAGGTTCCGCCCTCATGGTGGGACTGGTGGCTTTACGAGAAGAGGGGAGGCCTGAGCTGATAGGCACATTCCTGCCCTCTCACCTCGTGATGCCCTCTGCCATGTTATGAGGTAACAAGAAAGTTCTCACCAGATTACAACCCCTCAACCTTGGACCTCCCAGCCTCCAGAACTGTAAGAAATAAATTTCTTTTCTTTACAAATTAGCCAGTCTGTGGTATTGTTAGAGCACTGCAAAATGGACTCAGACACCATGTTTCCCGTGTTAGCACATTATAAATATCTCAAACTCTGGTGAAACCTCTGCCACTTACTACCTATGTGGTCTAGAGCAAGTCATTTTGTTTCCTTGATCCATGTTTTCTCATAAGTGGTCCCTCAGGGAAAATGTGGTACATATACACCATGGAATATTATGCAGCCATCAAAAATGATGAGTTCATGTCCTTTGTAGGGACATGGATGAACCTGGAAAACATCATTCTCAGAAAACTGACACAAGAGCAGAAAATCAAACACCACATGCTCTCACTCATAGGCGGGTGTTGAACAATGAGAACACATGGACACAGGGAGGGGAGCACTACACACTGGGGTCTGTTGGGGGGAAATGGGGGAATGGGGGGCGGGGAGGTGAGAAGAGATAGCATGGGGAGAAATACCAGATATAGGTGAAGGGGAGGAAGGCAGCAAATCACACTGCCATGTGTGTACCTATGCAACAATCTTTCATGTTCTTCACATGTACCCCAAAACCTAAAATGCAATAAAAAATAATAAAAATAAGTCATCCCTAAGAACCTGCACAGAGCCGACATCATTTAATACTATGAATGGTTTATGTGCATAAGTGTAGGCTCAGATTTATACATTATAGCCTGTGCCCAATTTCTTAGTTTGGTTCGTTCTAACACTCTTATCGTTATTGCTACATAGCGTGTTATTGTATATTGATGACTCATTATTTCTACAGAGTACTCAAGAATTTGTGAAATATTGTAATACCATGACCATAATTCATTCAACGCTTACTAAAAGTGCTGTGGCCTTTCTCATAGGTCCTCACAACTCCGTAAGTATTGCTAATCCTGTTTTAGTCATATATTCCCCCCAGTAATGCTGCATAACAAGTAACCACAAAAACGTCAGGGTACAGCACAATATACATTTATATGGGGTTCAGCTGATCTGAGCTGGGCTTACCTTTATCTAATATTGCCACCTTGCTGTTGGAAACAGATGCTCAGTGCCACAAAGAAAAATCAGCACTGAGACAAAGGATCTCTCAGCAAGCAATTTTTACTTCTTGCACTGCAGGAAGGGTACCCTCGCTAGCCATCTTGCCACAAGAGTAAAATTAACAAAGGAAAAGCAGACGTATTTATCCCTTACGCATTTGGGATTGTCCTTACTGCTGTGTCTGATCTCCATTGGTTGGAGCTAGACCTCACAATCTAAACAAAAACCAGATTGGCTAATAACTTTTTAAACAGATAAGGGGCATAGGCTGCAAGCTGGGACATGCCTATGAGCACGTCCAGCACAGATATTTGGTTAAAGTACAAGGACATAGAAGGCACTACATGCCTGTAAGCATGTCTAACAGCTACATAGGATAGAGCTTAACAAAGGGTTATTAACACAATTATGATTTATTCTTTAACCAGAAAAGAAACTTTGAAGAGGAACTTTTTACTTCCCACACTTGCTCACACATCTACGGTTAACTGCAGGCTCTCTGATCTGTTTTTTTTTTTTTTTTTTTTTTGAGACGGAGTTTCACTCATGTTACCCAGGCTGGAGTGCAATGGCGCGATCTCGGCTCACCGCAACCTCCGCCTCCTGGGTTCAGGCAATTCTCCTGCCTCAGCCTCCTGAGTAGATGGGATTACAGGCACGCGCCACCATGCCCAGCTAATTTTTTGTATTTTTAGTAGAGACGGGGTTTCACCATGTTGACCAGGATGGTCTCGATCTCTTGACCTCGTGATCCACCCGCCTCGGCCTCCCAACGTGCTGGGATTACAGGCTTGAGCCACCGCGCCCGGCCTCTGATCTTGATTGAATCACTCACATGTCTAGCGGTTGGTTAGCTGTTGGCTGTTCTAGGATGGCCCTAGCTTGTGTCATGACTAGAGCAACTTGGCTCCACAACACTGACCTCTCATCCTCTAGCACGCTAGCCTGGGAATTTTCCCATGACAATTGCAGAGGAATTAGAAATGTACAAGCACTTTTTCAGGCTTCTGTCTGCACCGCCTCTGCTGATATCCCATTGGCCAAGGCAAGTCACAAATCCAACACAAATTCAAAGGATGGGGAAATTGACTCCACCTCTTTTACGAGAGAAACTGCAAAGGCTCTGGAGATAGGAGAGGTGTTATGGGTTGAATTGTGTCCGTCTCAAAATTCATAGGTTGACGTCCTAACCCAGACTCTCAGAATGTGAAAGTATTTGGAGATAAGGTTTTTACCAAAGTAACCAAATTAAAATAAGGTTATTAGAGTGGTCCCCTAATCCAGTGTGCCTGGTGCCCATATAAGAAAAAGAAATCTGAGGCCGGGCATGGTGGCTCACACCTGTAATCCCAGCATTTTGGGAGGCAGAGGCGAGTGGATCACCTGAGGTCAGGAGTTTGAGAGCAGCCTGGCCAACGTGGTGAATCCCCGTCTACACTAAAAATGCAAAATTAGCCAGGTGTGAAGCCACACACCTGTAATCCCAGCTACTTGAGAGGCTGAGACAGGAGAATCACTTGAACCCAGGAGGTAAAGGCTGCAGTGAGCTGAGATCCAAACCACTGCATTCCAGCCTGTGTAAGACAGAGCAAGACTCCATCTCAAAAAAAAAAAAAAAAGCAAAGAAATTTGGACACAGACACGCATAGAAGGAAAATGATATGAAAACACAGGGCAAAAATGACCATTTGAAGCCAAGGAGAAAGGCCTGAAACACATTCTTCCTGTAGGGCCCCCAGAAGGAGCCAACCCTGCTGATACCTTGATTTCCTATTTCCAGCCTCCAGAATACTAAGATAATAAATGTCTGTTGTTCAAACCACCAGGTCTATGGTACTTTGTTATGTCAGCCCTGGCAAACTAATACAAAGGGTAAAGAATTAAGGCATTAATACATTAATGCAATCAGTTCTCTCTTTCTTCTTTTTATTTATTTATTTTTTTTGAGATGGAGTTTTGCTCTTGTTGCCCAGGCTGGAGTGCAGTGGCATGACCTTGGCTCACTACAACCTCCGCCTCCCAGGTTCAAGAGATTCTCCTGCCTCAGCCTTGCGAGTAGCTGGGATTACAGGCATGTACCACCATGCCCAGCTAATTTTGTATTTTTAGTAGAGATGGGGTTTCGCCATGTTGGACAGGCTGGTTTCGAACTCCTGACCTCAAGTGATCCACCTGCCTCGGCCTTCCAAAGTGCTGGGATTACAGGCGTGA